GCTAGCATTTCCAGAAGCTCCATATTTCTCTCAAGAAAATGGTTTACTTGAAGAGCTGTACTTTTTGAAGTTTGTTTTTTTTTTTTTTTTTTTATTTTCTTTTTTGTCTAGTAAATGCTAGACAAATTTAACATTTAAAAGTCTAGGCTAAACAGAACCAATTTATTTTTAATGAGTTATGGCCTTTTTTCTGAATTCCCAGAATTAAATTAAAATTTAAAATGTTACTAAACCCACAACAGTAAAATCAGTCTGTATATGCAGTAAAGCATGCTTGTTATACTCACTGTGGAACCTAAGGGGTTAATCCTCTGCATTGTGTAAATAGAATGTTTGATCCTGGCTTCCCTGATCCTCCCCTTCTTCCACAGTCCCCAATCCATCTGCTGATATCACAGAGCCTTTGGGGCAAGTTGCACATGCTCAGTTTGGTGTGTGTTGCTACAGTGTTTTATTTCTTGGGAGAGTGCATGTGATCAACACAGGGCCAATCAGCACTGTCCACACAGAGGGTCAGGGGACCTGTAGCCTTATAGGACAATGAGGGGAGAATGAAAACTCCTACAAGCTTCAATCAGTGCTCTGCTGGACACTGATAGAAATCTTACTAAAGTATTTAGCAGTTTATATTTACTAAAATAATTGCATTTCCATGTTCTGTGTACTGTGGGAGACCAGATATAGTGAATGCAGGGTCCTGGGTTTAGTAACACTTTAAACTCTTAAAGTGGTCCTAAAGGCTTAAGGTTTTTTATGCTATACATGAAGGTAAAAAACATTCTGCACAGTTTGTCCCCCCTCCCCCCCTCCACCAATACTCACCTACGCCCCCTCTTGATCCAGCGATGTGCACTGGAGTCTCGGCTATCCCAGGACTCCCTCTTCTCATTGGCTGAGATAGAAGTGGGGACCATTGGCTCCCACTGCTGTCAATAACAGCCAGTGAGCCAATGAGAAGAGAGAGGGGCGGGGCCGAGCCAAGGCTGTGTGTGTGTGAATGGACATGCAGAGCAGCAGCTTGCTAGCGAGCCTGCTTGGGTGCATCCATAATAAGTTGTTTGCTCTAGGGCACTTGGCAGGGGCCAGGGGCCATAAGTGCAGTATCCAGCCCTTCTGCCTGCAACCTGTATATGGGAGGCTGAAAAACGCTGCTGCTGGATGGGACTGAACCTGCATTCCAAACATTTGTCCCTGAATACATAGGGCACTAAACACAAGTATGACCTGGTATAGTGTTCAACCCTGTCCAGCTGCAATGTACTTTAGCCTGCCATAGACTCTGAGATGCTGCAGGCAGCAGGGCTGGATGCTACATTGGTGCCTCCAGGGCGCATTAAAACACTTGGGATTGTGTGCACAGAAGCTAGTTGCCCTATGTGCAAAGGGTCTAACACAGCAGCCTTGGAAATGAAGTAAATATATACAAAGCTGTGTAAAAATATAGTATTATGTGTGATTTGAAAAGCAGAAAAAAAAACCTGACACTATAGATCACTAACTCTAAAGCAGGGAAAAGTCTATGTTGTTCTAGTGGTTCTGCCTATGCAGGGTTAGGTGGTTAAAGGATTTTTCCCATTTAGTTCAAAATGTAATTTCATTGGACAACTTACAGCTGGATGGAAACCATTCACAATGTGGCATTCTGTTGTGATCTGTACTGAAAACATATCAATTTTCAATGGCACCCAGCTAGCTGTTTATTTTATATAACTCAAATAGGGCACCCAGATCCAACCTACTTTCTGATTTTCCTAAACTACTCTAAATATGAAAGGATGGCTATAGAAAACTACATTTTGGCATAGAAGATTAGCTTTTTTCATTCAGCCAGCAGCCTGAACACCCCCCAAAAACTAACATGCAGAAATCCCCTCTCTCTGGGACATTGTATTCTGGCAGTGGGACTCTGCGCTGTCGGATTACATTGATCAGCACGACATAAAGCCGATTGGCTGTAAGCCCCTGATCAAAGAAGGTTTTCCAGCGGGTTTTTTTGATAGAAGCAGATCTAACAATCGTCCCTTCCGGACCAGACGAATTTCAATCAGTGTGTACCCAGCTTAAAGCGGAGCTCCACCCAAAAGGGGAAGTTCTACTTTAAGGACTGCTCCCCCGCTCCCAATTAAGGATTGGCACCTTTGGGGGGGGGGGGGGGGGGAGCAGGTACCCGAATTTGACAGGTACCCGCTCCCGCTTCCGGTCCGATCGATCATCCATCCCTCCCCTGTAGTCTTTTGGGACACATGACAGGTCCCAGAGGACTACAGGACCATTCATGAAGTTCAGCGCTACTTTTGCATGCACAGTAGGTACCCACCAGCTGTAAAGCCGCAAGCTGTCACAGCTGGGTGCCCACACTGAAGATGCCGGCCTCCTGGGATACAGGACGGCCAGTGAAACGGGCTGCAGGACACACACCGAGAAACAGGCAAGTGGTTGTTTTTTAAAAGTCAGCAGCTACAGTTTTTGTAGCTGCTTTTATTTTTTGACAGGTGAGTGGAACTCCGCTTTAAGGTGATATTAAAAGCAAGAAAAAAATCAAAAAACATATTTAAGAGCATATCTCCTCATTACATGCACATATCCTGAAGTGCATAAAAATACCAGTTGGTCTGCCAGAGTCCACTGAGCTGCTTACTTCTGTAGTTGACAACACAGTGCCTCTGTCTAGTCCCCCATTAATCATTTTTTGTGCATTGGTCTCGGGTAGACATTGGTACAAGAACCAGAGAATATACACTTACATAGGCTTCTTCTTAAAGAAGAAAACTGTCAATTACAGGGATTTAGCTACTGCAGAAGTCAGTTAAACAGGCTAATACCAGGGGGAAAATTCAGCTACTAATCAAAGAAGGAAATAAAATCAGTACTTGGTGTAAAACTGCCTTGTTTCTATCCTGACAGGTTCCTTTTTAAATGCATAATTTCATGTGTGATTTGACCTTAAAAGGTTTTTGACAATTCTGAATGGGCGTTTTTTAATCTGTTTGAGCGACCCTACTTTCTTCATTTAGCCTTTTTCAGCGTGAAAATTCTAGGTCCATTTTAAACTCCTGTGTGGTTACAATTGAGATGTATATGCCTGCTCTTCTCTGAGCTATGCAGTGTTTGCTTTAGTGTGGCCTTGCTGTTGCTGTTAAATGTCAAGGCAAAGATATTTGCTATCTGGAAATGATGGTAGTTTGATTAGTTTTACTACCAACAGAGCTAATAAAAATAATTCTTAAAATGTATAAATGTGAATCCTACAAACATCATTTGACAATGCTGAGCCACTAGGATGCTTTTAGTCATAACACATTCTTGCTGTGTCTACTGTAAAATCCTCTACATACCGTGCAGTTTTTATTCATTTCTGAGTTCCCAGGGTCTGTATACTTGCATGTTGACAGTGTAGTCACAGAGCAGCCATGTTTACTACAAGATCACTGCAGTGGGAAATGCATTTAATCTCCATAATGCTCTAACAGTATACATGATTGTGGCTGTTAACCTACCCTGACCTATTTTGATTCATATGCTGTGACATTTGCATTACCATAACTGATTTAGACAAGGTGAACATTCAATCAGTCAGTAATATTCATATGGAATCCCATCAAGGCTGCTTTTCCTTTTGCAGCCTGTAAGAATAACATGGCTAAAATGTTACGCTGCTTTTTTTCCCACACCACTTCATTCTGGGGTGATGTGGAAAATGAGGTGAAAAACACTATGAAACATTGCAAAGTACAATTGCCCTTATCTTATTGGTTTGCATTACTAAAATTTGTCATAATCAAACGGAAAGCTTGAAGGTGTGTATGAAATCAAGCCAAAGAGAGGCACAGTGTAAGATTAATTTCTCACCAGGTTCTCTTTTTGCAGCTGTGGTACTTTTCCTTTGTGTTTTGCCCAGATCAGCAGCAGCGGTGTCCAACACCATGGGATGTTTTGAAGAGTAGAAAGTCAATGCTGCTGATTAATTACTGGTTTCTTATACATGACTTGCAAAGTTCCACACTTTCTGTTTAGATTGGTTTTTAGTATGGTACAAAGTTCTGTTGATGCTGTCATTTGAAAACAATCGGGAATTTATAAGGGGTGTTTTAGTCACCTTTTAGGATTCTGTCAGGGTGAAACACCAAGTGTTGGTGCTTGCTCTCAATCCATTTACCTGTCTGTGATGGGAACATGAAAAGTTTCCACACTGCTCACTCCTTCCCCTTTGAACTCCCACCCTAGCCACTGCACCTGTCACACGAACAGGCGTATGATCAAGGATTTTTCTACCTGGGGTGGGCGGATCATGATTGGCCACTGAGTAAGTAGTTCCCCATTTGGTGAGCTCCACTTTTTAGTGATAACACACAGCAGTGGGCATATTCAGGTAATGACATTGGCTGCATTTCAAAAGCTTTTGTTTAATTTAGCTGTTGACCGGGGAATCTCCAGGCCAACGGCTAAATGAGGCAGGGGATGTAGCCCGGTGCGGAAAGCTATCATATACATGATTACTTCCCTAAACAGGCACATCCCGGTCTGAATATTGGTGTACAGAGTTGACCTAATATAAGAACTGGTGATTATTCTTTAACCACTATCCTACAGGGCACTTATACCCCCTTCCTGCCCAGGCCAATTTACAGCTTTCAGCGCTGTCACACTTTGAATGACAATTACGCGGTCATGCAACACTGTACCCATATGAAATTTTTATCATTTTTTTGTGACAGCTTTATTTTGGTGGTATTTAATCATCTCTGTGTTTTTTATTTTTTCTTAAACAAACCAAAAACCACTGAAAATAGAAAAAATGTTTTTTCTTAGTTTTTGTTATAAAATTTTGTAAATAAGTGATTTTTCTTCACTGATGTGTGCTAATGAGGCTGCAGTGATGGGCACTGATAGGCTGCACTGATGGGCACTGATAGGCTGCACTGATGGGACACTGATTGGTGGCACTGATGGGCACTGAAATGCAGCACTCATATATGGCACTGATAGGTGGCACTGACTGACACTGTTAGGCGGCACTGATAGGTGGCACTGACTGACACTGTTAGGCGGCACTGATAGGTGACACCGACTGGCACTGTGGGTGACACTGAAAGGCAGCTCAGATGGGCACTGATATGTGGCATTGATGTGGCACTGATGGGCAATGAAATGTGGCACTCATGGGCACTGGCAGGTGCCATGGATGAGCACTTGAGAGCTGGCACTGATGGACACTGACAGGTGGCGCTGCTGGGGTTACACAGATCATCAAGGCACACTGAACATCAGTGCTCTGATGATCTGTGTACATGTCCCCTCCGAGGAATGCCAATTACCGGCTCTCCTGACGAGCTGTCAGCGTGACAGCTCATGGGGAGAGAAATAACCGGCATTTCCCTGTTTACATGTGATCAGCTGTGATTGGACACGGCTGATCACATGACCGAGCCGACATCTTCGGCTCTTTCCATTGTTCGGTGATCCGCTGTGTCCGAGGGACGCAGCGCACCGCTGATCGCCGCTCTTCGGGAGCATGCGCAGTTAGAATGGGAGGACTTCATATGATGTCCTCCCAGAACGAGAGAACCACATTGCGTCCGTCATATTACTATATGGCGGGCAGGAGGCGGTTAAGAATCCTATCACTATAGCAGTGACAAATTTTTAAAGTAAGAATTATTGGAATTTACTGCAGGTGCCGGTGATGTTACCAACACTGGTGCAAATGCCTGAGTTAGACGCAGGTAGTTCTCAAGGGAACTACTACCAGAAAAGTGGTGTTAGAGCAACACTTAATTCCCCTAAAAAGGTTTTTGCAGTCTTTAACCTCCCTGGCGGTATTCCCGAGTGTAGCTCGGGGTAAAGTTTCAGTACCAAAAGCGGTAACCCCGAGCTACACTCGGGCTTACCATGCGGCGCTGCATAGGGATTCCCTACATCGCTTACCTTGTCCTTCGCTCCCACGATGCGTCCCCTGCAGTGTCCCCGGCCATCTCCTCCGGCGATGCCGGCATCTGGCTTCCATGTTCCGGTCCCTGTGACGTCGGGACGTACGGGCGCCGGAACCGGCAGCATATTTGAAAATTTAAAAAAAAAAAAAATTTTTTAAAACAATTATTTCATAGCAAAACATTCCTGTATCAAAGCATTTCACATACATTTTGTCCCTACTGCTTTGTCCTGTGCCCTGCCTGCATTTTGACTGTTCTTTCTGCCTGGAAACTTAGAAAAGTCCCTTTAGGTCAAAATCGGTTTTAGACCAGCTAGAGAACAGCGATAGTAAATCAGAACCACTTGCAGAATTGAGTGATAATGATTCATGGGGGAAATTCGTCATCAGACACTGAAAACGATTTTGCGACTTTGCTCAGGGATGTGCGAACTTGGCGCTATATTTCAAATTTCAGTGTTTTTGGTTTGATTACCGTATTTTTCGCTCCATAAGACGCACCTGACCATAAGACGCACCTAGGTTTTAGAGGCGAAAAACAAGAAAAAAAAATATTCTGAACCAATGGACTGCAGACACAGTACAGGGGATGACCAGAGACTGCGGACACAGTACAGGAGATGACCAGAGACTGCGGACACAGTACAGGAGATGACCAGAGACTGCGGACACAGTGCAGGAGATGACCAGAGAATGCGGACACAGTGCAGGAGATGAACAGAGACTGCGGACACAGTGCAGATGACCAGAGACTGCGGACACAGTGCAGGAGATGATCAGAGACTGCGGACACAGTGCAGGAGATGATCAGAGACTGCGGACACAGTGCAGGAGATGACCAGAGACTGCGGACACAGTACAGGGGATGACCAGAGACTGCAGACAGTGCAGGGAATGACCAGAGACTGCAGACAGTGCAGGGAATGACCAGAGACTGCGGACAGTGCAGGGAATGACCAGAGACTGCGGACAGTGCAGGGAATGACCAGAGACTGTAGACAGTGCAGGGAATGACCAGAGACTGTAGACAGTGCAGGGAATGACCAGAGACTGCGGACAGTGCAGGGATGACCAGAGACTGCAGACAGTGCAGGGAATGACCAGAGACTGCAGACAGTGCAGGGAATGACCAGAGACTGCAGACAGTGCAGGGAATGACCAGAGACTGCAGACAGTGCAGGGAATGACCAGAGACTGCAGACAGTGCAGGGAATGACCAGAGACTGCAGACAGTGCAGGGAATGACCAGAGACTGCAGACAGTGCAGGGAATGACCAGAGAGACTGCAGACAGTGCAGGGAATGACCAGTGACTGCAGACAGTGCAGGGAATGACCAGAGACTGCAGACAGTGCAGGGAATGACCAGAGACTGCAGACAGTGCAGGGAATGACCAGAGACTGCAGACAGTGCAGAGAATGACCAGAGACTGCAGACAGTACAGGAGATGACCAGAGACTGCAGACAATGCAGGGAATGACCAGAGACTGCTGACCTTTGGGGAGGGAGGGGGAGCGGGTACCTGAATTTGACAGGTACCCGCTCCCACTTCCGCGGAGTTGTCCTTCTCTCTTCTTCCCGGGCCGGCTTCTGTGACAGCCGGGTGCCCACTGCGCATGCGCGAGAAGCGCTGCGCTTTGTGAATGGCCCGACGCCTTCTGGGACCTGTCATGTGTCCCAGAAGACACCGGATCATTCACAAAGCGCAGCACATGTGCAGTGGGCACCCGGCTGTCACAGAAGCCAGCGCGGGAAGACTGTGCAGCGCTGGAGCGAGGAACAGGTAAGGCCCTGCAGGAGAGAACAGCTGAGCGGCCGGCCCGGTATTCTGAGATGGTGGCGGCAGAAATACCGGACCGGCCGCTTTATATTCGCTCCATAAGACGCACTGACATTTTCCCCCCTTTTTTGGGGGGAAAAAAGTGCGTCTTACGGAGCGAAAAATACGGTATATTATTGAATTAAATTTATTATTATTATATTATTTTTTATGAGTATTTATTAAGTAAGTAATTACTAAGAATTGCAGATCTACAATACATAACACCAAGTTTCCATGCAAAAAAATGGTACCGCTTTTGGTACAAAATTCCTGACATAATCATACCGCCAGGGAGGTTAAAGGCATTCGCTCAGGCAAATGTAGACTCAGCAATTACAGCTGCAAGTCTTTTTTGGGGATGTCTCTACCAGCTTTGCACATCTAGAGAATGACATTTTTGCCCATTCTTCTTTACAAAATAGCTTTAGGTCTGTCAGATTGGATGGAGAGTGTCTGTGAACAGCAATTTTCAAGTCTTCTCAATTGCATTTAGGTCTGGACTTTGACTGGGCCATTCTAACACATGAATATGCTTTGATCTAAACCATTCCATTGTAGCTCTATGTTTAGGGTTGTTGTCCTATGGGTAGGTGAACCTCCGCCCCAGTCTCAAATCATTTTCAGACTCTAACAGGTTTTCTTCTAAGATTGCCCTGTGTTTGGCTCCAGCCATCTTCCCATCAACTCTGACCATCTTCCCTTTCCCCGCTGAAGAAAAGCATCCCCATAACATGATGCTGCTGCGTTCGTTTTCTGCCACACCTAGTGTTTTGCTTTTAGGCCAAAAAGTTCCATTTTGGTCTCATCTGACCAGAGCACCATCTTCCACATGTTTGCTGTGTCCCCCAAATGGCTTCTCGCAAACTGTAAACGGGACTTCTTATGGCTTTCTTTCAACAATGGTTTTCTTCTTGCCACTCTTCCATAAAGGCCAGATTTGTGAAGTGCACAACTAACAGTTGTCCTGTGGACAGATTCTCCCACCTGAACTGTGGATCTCTACAGCTCCTCCAGAGTTACCATGGGACTCTTGGCTGCTTCTCTGATTAATGCTCTCCTTGCCCGGCCTGTCAGTTTAGGTGGACGGCCATGTTTTGGTAGGTTTGCATTTGTGCCATACGCTTTCCATTTTCAGATAATGGATTGAACAGTGAGCTGTTCAAAGCTTGGGTATTTTTTTTATACCTTAAAGTGTTACTAAACTCAGGACCCTACATTTACTATATCTGGTCTCCCACAGTATATAGAACATGGAAATGCAATTATTTTAGTAAATATAAACTGCTACATACCTTTTGTCATCAGCAGTTAGAGCAGTCTTGTGACTTCAGCTGAGCACTGGTAAAGCTTGGAGGAGTTTTCTTTCTGCTGTAGGAGGATGCAAAATCCCTGACCTCTGTCTGGACAGTGCTGATTGGTCCTGTGCTGATCACATGCACTCTCCCAAGAAAAAAAAAACAACCTCTCTAGCGATACACACTAAACTGAGCATGTGCAGAAAGACTACGGGTTCAGTCTGTCAGTGTGGGCATTTGAACAAGAGGAAGGGCAGAGAAGTCAGGATCAAACAGCCTTTTTACACAATGCAGAGGATTAACCCCTTAGGTTCCACAGTGAGTATAACAAGCATGCTTTACTGCATATACAGACTGTTATGGGTTTAGTAACACTTTAACCCTGCTTTCAACTTCCTCCACAACTTTACAAGACCTGTCTGGTGTGTTCCTTGGCCTACATGATGCTGTTTGTTCACTAATGTTCTCTAACAAACCTCTGAGGGCTTCACAGAACAGTTGTATTTATACTGAAATTAAATTACACACAAATGGACTCTATTTACTAATTAGGTGACTTCTGAAGGCAGTTGGTTCCACTAGATACCAGGAGATTTTAGTTAGTTGGTATCAGAGTAAAGGGGCTGAATACAAATGCACATCGCTGCAAAACATTTTTCAGATATTTGTTGTAAAAAATTTTGAAAACCATTTATCATTTTCCTTCCACGTCACAATTCTGTGCCACTTTGTGTTGGTCTATCACATAAAATCCCAATAAAATACATTTCGTTTTTGGTTGTAACATGACAAAATGTGGAAAATTTCAAGGGATATGAATACTTTTCCAAGGCACTGTATGTATTTTGTACATTCGCATCAGTGAAACGCCATTTATATTCATACAACAGTTCTAAACTAGGACTGGTGCACATTACCATGAGTGAGTCTCTGGGCCTTTTCACACACATGTCTTTTAGAACAGGTCAATGCAGGTCGTCCATTGGTTTTTATGGTGCTTGTTCACATATACAGTATGCAGCGTGTTAACATGCATTGGCCAAAAAAAATGTTTTTGGTTTTTTTTTGTTTTCCTTCATCAATGCATGTTTTATATGGCCTTGAATCAGAATGAGAACATGTCAACACATCATGAACTGCATAAAGAAATGTACCTTGGAAACGCAAGCATATACAATGTAAATCCAGCTGGTGTGCCTGGGCTCTAAGCCTATGTAGGTGTTCTCTTTCCATCCATGTTTTACTACTGGAGGGGATCTGTGCTCTTTGACGTCTAGATAGTGTACATCAATTACTTCATCCTAGGTACTGTAGAATGACAACAATGTAGAGGCTTGATGGAGTCCTTCATATTTCTGACAATATCACTACTTTCACGTTAGGTTTGGATTGTTTTCATTTTTGCTTCTTCTTGCAGACTTGGATCTTTTAGATATGTAAATTAGAATCCGTAGAAGGAATACTACATACAATGCATCCAGAAAGTATTCACAGCGCTTAACTTTTGCCATATTTTGTTATGTTACAGCCTTATTCCAAAATGGATTAAATTAATTTTTTTTTCCTCAATATTCTACAAACAATACCCCATAATGACAACGTGAAAGAAGTTTGTTTTGAAATCTTTGCAATTTAATAAAAATAAAAAAAACCACATGTACATAAGTATTCACAGCCTTTGCTCAGTACTTTGTTAAAGTATCTTTAGCACCAATTACAGCCTCAAGTTGTTTTGAGTATGATGGTACACCTATTTTTGGGTAATTTCTTCCATTCTTCTTTGCAGTATCTCTCAAGCTTTATCAGGTTGGATGGGGAGCGTCGGTGCACAGCCATTTTCAGATCTCTCCAGAGATGTTCAATCAGGTTCAAATCGGGGCTCTGGCTGGGCCACTCCAGGACATTCACAGAGTTGGCCCATGGCCACTCCTTTGTTATATGGGCTGTGTGCTTAGGGTCGCTGTCCTGTTGAAAGATGAACCGTCAAGGACATGAAACTTTTTGGTAAAATCCTGAGTCAATAAATATTTATGAGTGTTGATTCATAGGGACTAAGTCGGTTTTGTCCCGGGTTGCCAGGCAGAAGATAATGTTCGGAAGGTGGTGCACCTATGAGTCGTCGCAAAATTCCAGGGTTCCTCCTCTCGGTGGACATCTATAAAGCGTTTGATACTCTCTCCTGGGATTACCTCTGCTACGTCCTGAATCGCTGGGGCTTTGGGAGTTCCTTTTTAACATGGCTGTCGGCGTTATATTCTACTCTAGAGGCTTCAATTCGGGCTTCTCTGAGTCTTTCCCCAGCACCAGAGGAACCCACCAGGGATGTCCCCTTTCCCGAACCCTCTTTATCTTGGCCCTTGAGCCCCTGGCGATTGCGATTCGCATGGACCTGAATATATCGAGAATCCCATATGCTGGAATGTCGTATAAAGTGAATCTATTTGTGGATGATGCTCTGTTGACTTTGACCAACCCGATAACGACGCTTCCGAACCTCCATGCTCTGCTATCCCGGTTTGCAGAATTTTCAGGCCTCCAGGTTAACCCCCACAAAATGACTGCTTTAAATGTCTCTGACAGACTCCACGGTTTCCCTTCTCCAAACTTCTTTCCTGTATCGCTGGGCAACCTTCTCACTTACCCTGGAGTACAATTAACTACTTCCTATTCTTCCATTTTTGTTGCTAACTGTTATCACCTCTTGTGTACGGTCACTTCCCTTCTACGATCTTGGCATTTTCCCTCTCTGTCTTGGAAGAGCGGATCAGCGCCATCAAGATGATGGTACTCCCTAAATTCCTTTATTTTTTCAGGACGCTCCCTGTCCAGGTTGCATCATTTTGCCTGCGCTCTCTACAGAATAAGCTTTTGGCCTCCATTTTGGGCCGACAAACGCCCCAGAGTAGCACGTACCACCCTGTATGCCCATTGGTTGAGAAGGGGTCTTGGGGTCCCCAACGTCACAAAATATTACTTGGCGGCCCAAATCTCCCAATTACCTTGCTCCATGCTACTTCTGATATCCCACTTTGGGTGGTACTGGAGATCCCTGACTGTGCCCCTGTCCCGGTCTCGGCTCTCCTTTGGCTGCCTTCTTCCCTCCGCCCTTCCCCACTTAGCCCGCTTATGACTCATAGTCTGCGTATTTGGGATTCGATTTGTCTTTCGGCTAAACTAATATCCCCTTTTCTTCCTCTCCTGCCAGTGTTGCACATCCCCTATTCCCCCCGGGTCTGACGCAATCTCAGGCTTTTGCCTGGTGGCCCGCTCACGGCTATTCCCATGTACGTCACTTTCTGAACTCTCGTTCGTTTCCTTCCTGGTCCTCTATTTGCGAAGTCCATGGAGCTCCACTGGCGGAATGGTATCATTATGCACAACTCAGACATTGGATTTCCTGCCTTTGTTGTGATGCCATCTTTCCTTTTCGGAAAACACAGTTTGAACATGTTTACTAACACTCCCCTGGAACCAGGGGCACCATCTCTCTTTTCTATTCACATCTTCTCTTGGCACGTTCTCCTGGCCCCCATCCATATGTTTTAAAATGGGAACGCTATCTTACTATCCAACCAACCCCGGGGTTGGCGTAGGGCCTGGTCGGCTGGTAGTGGTTCTTTTAACACTACCACTATGGAAGCGGCATATAAGGTCCTTCTCCGATGGTACTGGGTCCCAGAACGGCTTGCCCATGCGAACCCATCCTGTGGCGATGGCTGTTTTATAGGTTGCGGAATCCGGGGAGATGAGCTTCACGTATGGTGGACGTGCCCACGATTAGTGGGCTTTTGGTCCAGAGTATATGGTCTATTGTTAACCCTTTTTCACTCTTACTGTAGAGCTCCTTGTCATGCGCTCCTCCGTTGCCTACTCCCTGGCCTTTCCTCCCACCAGCAAAGATTGGCTACCTATCTTTTTATAGCGGCTAAGAGGTGGCAAAAGTTGAGCGCTGTGAATACTTTCTGGATCCACTGTAAACACATTAAACCTACTTATCATATGAGGCATTTTCCTTATTGTATTTTTTGTTGTGTTTGGAATCCTTTTTATTTCAAAGTCTGTTTTTAGTTTTATATGCTATTGAAGTGTTATTTCAGGACATGTAATATTAGTAACGCAAGATTTCCTAGAGCTGTACTTTACCTATTTTCCAATCCCAAAATTGTTTGGTATGTCTGGAGTATGCAAACATATGGAAAATGAAAGGATTTAGTTTCTTTTTGCTTGTGATGCAGTCCATGAACTGTGCGATCCAGAGTTTTTATTAGATCGCCTCTCCAGCAGGGGGGCGGGGGAATGAGGGATTACTACAATAGAACAGAAGAATAAAAATTACAAGATGAAGAAAAATGGTTGTTACAAATCATTGAGTGCTGCCTCATATTCTGGGGATAGAAGTGATATCATGCCTAGTCCAATGCAAATACTGACTTTTAGAAAGTCAATATTTACATTCAATTGTGGGAAAGGTCAGAGCAAGCCCCTATCTGGATTCAGGCTTGGGCAAGCCATAGATGATGCAATTTTCTTTCCTGCAACTAGGGGTTGCAGGGAAGAAAATCACTTGATTTCCCCCATCAACACAGTCAGTGTTGATGTGGAAATCCCTCCCTTAGTGCTTTTGTGTTCTGCCAGCAGGAAGCCTTCCTGCTGGAAGCTATAGCCATCAGCAGTGACCGCATGAAAAAAAAAATCCGTCAAGCCGGTTGTATTGAAGTTGATCAATGGATCAACTTCAGTACAACCAGCCTGCTCATAGATGTATTGAATCTTGGCGGGTCCCTGCTGATCCATCTATGGCCAGCCTCAAGTGTTACTAAACCCAGCATTCATTATATCTGGTCTCCACAGTACTCAGAACATGAAAATGCAATTATTTTAGTAAATATAAGCTGCTAAATACCTTTTCTCATCAGCAATTATAGCAGTCTTGTGACTTCTATCAGTGTCCAGCAGAACACTGCTTAAAGCTTGTAGGAGGAGTTTTCATTCTCTATGTGGCTGCAAGACTGCTGATTCTTTATCTGGACAGTGCTGATTTGGTCCTGTGCTCATCACATGCACTCTCCCAAGAAAAAACACAGAAACTCTCTAGCAATACACACCAAACTGAAAATGTTCAACATGCCCCCAAGGCTCTGTTCTCTCAGAAGATGAATTGGGAACTGTGGAAGAAGGGGAGGATCAGAGAAGACAGGTTCAAATATCCTTTTTACACAATGCTGAGGATTAACCCCTTAGGTTCCACAGTGAGTATAACAATCATGCTTTACTGCATATACAGACTGATTTTACTGTTGTGGGTTTAGTAACATTTTTAAGTCTGTACAGTATATGGATATTTAATGCATTTTACATTGCTGCTGTACACAACAGATGCAGCTGCACAATACAACTGTGAGATATCTTGTGTGTGTAAATTGACAAACCTGCGCTTTAGGTATCAAGTTCAAAAGGGAGCAGCTAACACAATAAATAGGCAAGAAAAATGGCATTTACTCTGTTTCCTGTCTGCGTGTGCGATTCTGGTAATTGAAGCTCATCTTGATTGGGTAGGAGGGTCCTTCCTGCCTCTATTTATATTGAATGTGGTTATATAACCACGTACCTGACGATGTCTTTCTGATGACGAAACACGCAGGGTGGAGCCGCGACGTGACTTCGTCGCGCATCGCTAAGAACTGCGGCCATTCTGTTGGTTGGAGAAAATATGCTGAAATGCCGGTTTTTACTATTGAGATTGTATGTGCATTATTTTGAATAAATTTTGATTTTGAACTTACTACACAATGAGAGGGTATTCTTCTCTTATATTGTGCTTGTCATGTGGAGAGAGATTTGCCATTTGAGAGTTTGAAACCTGGAGAAGTACCGCATACTTCCTGCATTCCTTGAGAGGTTAGCTTGGGAGTCTGATAAATCCTCTGGGTCCCATAACTGTGCTATTTGACCAATCCTTTGGGTGATCAAATCCTTTGGTTAGAGGCTGTGTGATTGGGTGGAAGGTTAAGGATTCTTCTCTATTCTTGGTCTCCTGCAGGCTTATGATGACTTTTGTATGGACAAATACCTAAATTTGTGTGTTATTTGCATTTTGCACTTATTTATTCTACCATTGGTGGGGATTTGTTTTTAAACACCTCTTATTGATATGCATATTAGGAAAGTAGCGCTGCACTACTCTGTATATGCCATCTTCTGTGTCCTGTGTTTTTATGGGGGATTTTCTGTTAATAACTTTAGCCAAATATTGAATGTAATCTAGGATATTTGGTTTAGCGCAAACAGCGTGTCGGTCACATTATACTATAGCTAGACAGATGATAGATTGTGGTGGTGTGAACCAACCGTTAACCACTTGCCCTCCAGAGGATTTACCCCTCTTCCTGACCAGGCCATTTTTTTGCGTTACGGCGCTGCGTTACTTTAACTGACAATTGCGCAATCATGCAACGCTGCACCCAAATGAAATTTACATCCTTTTTTTCCCACAAATAGAGCTTTTTGGTGGTATTTGATCGCCTCTGCATTTTTTATTTTTTGCGCTATAACAAAAAAAAAGGCCAACAACTTTTAGAGACAGTATTTTTGACTTTTTTGCTATTAAACATCTCCAGTAAAAAAAAATTTAAAAAGTCAAATTTCGTCATAAATTTAGGCCAAGATGTATTCTGCTACATGTCTTTGCTAAAAAAAAAAATCCCAATATCTGTAAATTAGTTGGTTTACATGAAAGTTATAGTGTTAACAAAGGGCGGTATATATACGGGATTTTTTTTTTTAATTTTTACTAGTAATCAGCGACTTATAGCAGGAATGGGGGGAACTTACTTGGTGTCACTGACATCCCCAGTGACACCAATACAGTGATCAGTGGTAATAGCACTGACACTGCACTAATGGCATTGGGCAGGAAGGGGTTAACATGTGGGGCAATCAAAGGGTTAACTGCGTGCTGTTTTACATAGTGTGCTGTGTTAGTGCTTCACTGTAAGCACACTGCTTTGTAAAACATTGTGCAGTAGCTGACAGGGAGAACTGTATTGTTTACAAACAGCACTCACCCAACGCCCCCCCCCCCCCCCCCCCCCCCCCCCCCCGTTGGAGATGCTCGGCAATCAGCAGGACCCGGTGATTGACAGCTGAGGCCGTGAATGGTGGCTCGGGTAGGGCGCCCCCTACCTGGAACTGCAAAATCTCGTATATATACGTGTGATGTACATCCGTGCCGCCCTGTAGCAGTACTTCTGCTATAGGGCGGGGGGAAGCTGTTAAGCCGGCCATACACTGATCTAAATTTGGCTAGTATCTGCTAGACTGGCTGAATTTAAATTGGTGTGTGCCCTCCCCCACTCAATATAAATTTAATTGACTTCTGTGCAGGTCAATAACTCTTCAGTTCTGAGTAAGAATGTAGGCAGGAAAAACATGGACTGCTGGGCCTAGGCACTGCACAGTACTTAACAATATGATAGTGTGACAAGAACACACCTATCTGAAAAAGAAGGTTTCTAAAAGATCCACGCGGAGTAGTATGAATTCAAATGAATTTAACAATACTTTATTTGATCACATAGATCATGGGGAGGTTAAACATGAGCACGGTGTACATATAAAAAAAATAAAATCATGTTTAAAAACACTTAGCGCCATATGCATTTTTGGAAAAGCATCAAGGACCTGATCTTAGTTCAAGTCGACAGGAGTCTTCTTGATCCTCATTGATGGTAATATATCCACATCTCTATGTGTGTTTTTGTTTTCGGGATTACCTGATGCCCATGTTCTACACATTTATTATCTTTTTCTATGTACATCCTCAGAATCATTTGGTACTGTGGACCTTGTTCCATTTGGGGTGGCTATCCAGGAAGTCCCTACATTTGAGAGGCGGGTATGATAGTCTCACCTCTGAGAAGGTAACAGCAGCATCTATTGACTATTGTGGAGGGAGGCCTGGTAAATTTTGGATGTGATTTGGTTTCCATATTGCTAGAATACATACCATGTATTTTTGTGTTCCAGCTTGTACATTCCAGGAGGTCCCTGATATATACTGGGAACACACCCACTGAATATACGGTTCACACAAATATTAAGCAGGAAACCTACGGAAATCCAGGATAACTACTCCATCATTTACACTACTCTGCCTTATATGATGCTCTGTTGGCTAAGATGACCCTTAATTGAAGACGCTAAGTGTTTTTAAACATGATTTTATTTTTTTCATATGTACACCCGTGCTCATGTTTAACCTCCCCATGATCTATGTGATCAAATAAAGTATTGTTAAATTCATTTGAATTCATACTACTCCGCGTGGATCTTTTAGAAACCTTCTTTTTCAGATAGGTGTGTTCTTGTCACACTATCATATTGTTTAGTATGCTGTCCCCTGGGTTTATGTATCCACACTTGTACAAGTGAGTCGGAGAGGTGCTTATGACATTAACAATTAGTGTCATTTTTGGTGGCTTGCTTTTGTTTTATTGTTGTGACTGCACAGTACTTACCAAGGGGACCAGAGCGTGGGCACCAGGGATTTAAGAAATATTTTATTATAAATATTTCAATGCAATAGTCTCTGTACTTCAGTTTGTATTTTGAGTTACATTACATAGACTGTACATTACTTGTATTTGGCTGCATTCCGTGTTCTCTATCATATGTTTAACATATGTTAATGCAAAAGTAAAGAACCTCAGCTCTTACAGATCTTATTTTAGGTTTAATAAATCCTCATGTTGGCACAGTGACCTGAAAAGCACTGCAGTGCAGGGCTCACTGGACCTGAAGGAATGAAAGGTGTAATATTATGTATACATATATTCTTTATTCTGCATGCAGTTATCACATTCTTATTTCTAATATAGTCCTCATGATTCTGCTACTGGGCGTTGTGTTGTTAATTACAATAGAAAACGCACCAATCATTACAGTAGCACTCAAGACCAAATTGTTTTTTTTTTTCTCCCAAGCACAGTACCCACTACCTTGACCCCCTTTGAATTGTAATAAGGAACAGAGCCTCATGTGCACATCAGGCACAAAAAAACACTGTTATTACAGGCGTTTGATGTTTATTTGTTCATCCTGTAAACGCACTTGTATGTTAGCCTATGTTCCCTTGCATTCCAGGCACCAGTGCATTCAGGAGGAGAGGAGCGTTTTGTCAGAAAAAAAATGCACATAAGTGTGCATTGATGCTAGGCGCTTTTGTGTGTTAATGCAATTTAATGGCCACAGTTAATATTCTGGCCATAAGAATACATTGATACAAAACACTGCTTTTACTGCGTTTTTAAAGCAGCTTTTTCTCCTGCCAGTTGAAAAGGCGTTTACAGGAGCTAAGTGAACCCTCATTATGCATGAGGCCTAAATGTCTGGTTACCTTATTGCAAAACACGTAGGCTGCCAACTGCAATGTATAACTTTGAGGCTGGTTTGCATCTTTCTTTTGGATTTACTGTAATGCACAATATTTGGTGGTGCCATCTATTTAAAATGACACCCTAATGCTCAGCTCTAAAAGCAAACCAAAACACACATGTGCATAACACACAAAAAACAAAGTGCCGGTCCAGTTTAATATTCAATATGGATGGGCACAGAACAGTTTAACCACACATTAATACACATGTAGTACCATACTGCTGGAGCCAAAAAACTTTTTGAAGGGCCCCCAAAGCGAATCTGTGGTCTCTTTATGATCACTGAGGGCTCGTCTAAGGAAAAAAAGCAATCAGGTCTCATTTTGGTATGTAGGTTGCCTGCTCCTTTCTTTCTTCTCTTAATTGTGCAGTGTTTGAAAGATCTCCTCGATGGCTAAAAGGGAGAACAGGTAAGGGGTATACTAAATATGGTCAGAAGGAAACCTGTCAAAGTTTTTACTTTTTCTCAGCACCTGGTGTTTTTAAGGTAAACTGGATACTTCACAAAGGTAACATTTATATGCCAGTGTGCCTGCACTATCATACAGCATGTGGTTGCCAGGCTGCTTAAAAAGGTCTTTTAAATTCATGGTAGCAGCAATATTTGTTTGTTAAAAATGTACTGTATGCTGTGTAGGAAGCCTCAGCTCAGTGGATATGCTGACCTTATCTAGTCTCTCTAGTGTAATAGATATCCCTCTTCATAAAGAATATATTGAAAGTTGTGGATCAGTTTCTGTGAATGTTTAAGTACTTTCCAGTTTAGGTCACAGATAATCTGTAGTACAATGTACTCTTCTGATTTGTTGTCCTGTACTAAATGTACTTACTGCAGACCACAAGGCAACTTGGCTGACAACAGACTCACACTGTGT